TCTCTCTCTCTAATTTACTTTTTAAATAAACGATATTTTCCTATCTAACTTTTGTGCACTTCTTTGTATCTTTCATGTGGCACCGGATTGTATACCAGATACACCCCACACCCCAAGCAGACCTGAGCTAACATTCTGGAAGCCCCGCTGGGAGTGTGCCCTAACATTTACACATGAAGCTTGCTTTTCACACTTTCATTCATTCGAAGGAACAAAAAAAATTGGACCTTTATTAGCATAGATTTCAGCCTCTATGCTCAGAGATTTAGGTGTTAAAATATTCCCCCCAAATGCTTTTGAAAGATAAAATCCTTTCAAATTGAGAGTCATTATACCCTAAAATCAACCATATGCTGTAGTATACCAAGTTAAAAGTAAACTGGTTTAAAAAAAAAAAACAACCCAAATATTCAAAAAATATATCTTTTAAATGCATTTTCCTTGTTTCAACAGTTGCTCTGTGGTTTGCATTTCCCAGTGACACATTATTCTGTATAATTATTTTAATTAACACTATTCCATTTGTACTCTAATAGGAGGATGACAAAGTTTCTATTTTTTTTATATACACCATGATTTGCCACGCTGGCTCAAACACAAATACAGAACTCTATATAATGGTGGTCACTTATTTTTCATATCACAAAAGAATAATTTTCAAATAATTTCTGGAGAATGTACTTCAAAGTCATTACTTTTGATTCCTTTCACCAAAATGCTCTGAAAACCCAATAAATTCCATGCATGAATTTCTCATCCAAATTGACGTCTTATGTCTCCTCCCTCTAGCCTACTCTATATCAGGGTCACACAGCTGTTAAAACAAATTAATTTGTGATTTACTTAGAAGCTAAAGTAAAGCTCTGAAAATAACTTTCCATCTTTGCTTTTCAATCATCATTAAAATGAGCAACTGGAAACCACTTGGGTTACCTTGGGCAACCCAGCACTTGGGTCCTCTGACAAATGTCAGCCGACTTGGTTTAAAGCAGTGGTTTTCAAATCCCCTGTGGCTTGACAAGGTGAAGTTAGGACAAGCTGAAAGGCTGGCCTGGGTCTTGGTTCTCCAGCCCTTACTTTAGGCAGAGTAGGCTGAGAGCTCTGGCTTTATCTGTCTTGTTTGTTTATGCTGTTTGTTTTAAAAGAACTTTCCTTCTCTCTAAGACTTATTATCAAGTATATAATATTATGGACATAGCCGGGCTCAGTGGCTCAGCCCGTAACCCCGTGCTTTGGGAGGCTGAGGTGAGTGGATGGCCTGAGCCCGCGGGTTCAAGACCCGCCTGGGCAACTTGGTGAGACCTCATCTTTACAATAAATCAAAATATTAGCCGGGCGTGGTAGAGCACGCCTGTAGTTCCAGCTACTTGGAAGGCTGAGCGGAAGGATCGCCAGAGCCCAGCAGATCGAGGCTGCAGTGGCCGGGAGCGGCCACCGCATTCCAGTCTGGGCGACAGAGTGAGACTCCAACTCAAAAAAAAAAAAAAAAAATTATGGGCATAACCTTTCCCTTCTCCTACTGAACTCCCAGTCCTTAAAGCCATTAAGTGTGCCAGAGCAAAGCAGGCAACTGTGCAGAGAAGCAGCCTGGTGTGAGGTCGGCACTGGCTGAGTGGCAATGGTGGACGGGTAGTGGGTGATGAGGACAGGGCACCGGATGCAGGGAGTCAGAGCTCAAGGAGAGTGAGGTGTCCACATGGGAGAGCAGCCTGATGCGGGGAGCCTGAGCCTAAGCAGAGGGAAGAGGCTAGATCCCAAGCAGAGGATCACTGTGAGGGCATCCACCAGAAGGCTGGCGGACTGGCATCAGAGCTCAGGCAGAGTGAGGAGGGTGCTCAGATATGGGGTGAGCCAGTAAAGAGAATCAGAGACCAAGCAGGGTAAGATATGCTCATGTGTGTGTAGCCCAGAGTGGAGTTCTGAGCTAGGCAGGGCTGGGTGAGAGAGCATCCCCAGGGAGGTGGTCCAGTGTTGAATGCTGGAACCCAAGTGAGGTGTGGAGGGCATCTATTATGTGAGGGCAGCCCAGAATGAGGTACTAGAGACCAAACAGGGTGACAAGGATGGCCACACATGCGGAAGGACAGCAGGGGGTGCCAGAGCCCAAGTGGGATAAAGGGGACATCCATAATAGGTGCGGCCTGATGGAAGTGTCAGAGCCTGAGTGGAGTGAGATGGGTATCCATGTGGGAGAGCAGCAGCATTGAGGGGTTGCTTATATACAGGGAGATTGACCAATTTAAATATATTAAAGCTAATGACACCCAGTCCCTCACTGTCAGAGAAGGGAGGAGACCTACAATGTTGTTAGAATTTGAAGCATCAACGTGATGTCATAGATTTCAATATAGATGTACAAGTTTAGATATAAATTAGTGTGTATGTGTACAAGTACATACTTATGTTCTTTAGATTTGTCCCCTGAAAAGGCCTAGGGGGTGGTACTTTTCCCAAGGCAATGAGTGCACCTGGTGCTCAGATCTTGGCTTCTTTATGTTTTAGTTGGAGTCTCACTCTTGCTGCCCATGCTGGAGGGCAGTGGCACGCTCTCCCCCACCGAAGCCTCGACCTGCTGGACTCCGGCGATCCTTCCGCCTCAGCCTTCCAAGTAGCTGGAATTACAGGCACGCGCTACCACGCCTGGCTGATTTTTTGATTTATTGTAGAGACAAGGTCTCTCTGCCCAGGTGGGTCTCGAACCCGCGGGCTCAGGCAATCCACTCACCTCAGCCTCCCAAAGGCGCGGGATTACAGGTTGAGCCACCAAGCCCAGCTCATTAGGCTATTTTTGTAAGAATGATCTGGCCTGGCTCGGTGACTCAGACTGTAATCCCAGCACTTTGGGAGCCCGCGTGTTCAAGACCACCCCAGTCAACATGGCGAGACTGCCTCCTACAATATATCAAAAATTAGCTGGGCGTGGTAGGGCTCGCCTGTAGTTCTGGCTGCCTGGCAGACTGAGGCAGAAGGACCACCGTAACCCAGCAGGTGGACGCTGGGGTGGCCATTAGCGTGCCACGGCATTCCAGCCTGGGCAACAGAGTGAGACTTCAACTCAAAAAAACAAAAAGCATTATGTATATCAAAAATATAAACTTACGATGTTAACCTATTGCCTTTTAACGGTTTATCTTAAGCCAGATTAGACGAGTCATTTTTTTCTTTCTTTTTTGAGTTGGAATCTCACTCTGTCGCCCAGACTGGAGTGCAGTGGCCACTTCCGGCCACCACAGCCTCAACCTGCTGGGCTGTGGCAATCCTTCCGCCGCAGCCTTCCACATAGCTGGAACTACAGGTGTGCGCTACCATGCCCAACTAACTTTTGATTTATGGTGGAGACGAGGTCTTGCCAAGTTGCCCAGGCTGGTCTTGAACCCGCAGGCTCAGGCAATCCACTCACCTTGGCCTCCCAATGTGCTGGGATTACAGGCTGAGCCACCGAGCCCGCCACAATATATTTCTTAAATTTATTTCTCCTGAAATTTTGACCACTCACCCTCGACACACACACAACCAGCCCCTAGTAACCACCATTCCTGCTTCACTACTCCTGCTTCTATGAGCTCAACTTTTTAAGATTCTATATATAAGTAAGATCACCAAATATTTGTGTCTGGCTTATTTCACCTAACATAATGTCCTTCAGTTCCACCCATATTGTGGCAAATAACAGGATTCAATTTTTTTTTTTTTGGCTGAATCATATTTCACTGTGTGTATGCACCACATTTTATCCATTCATTTATTGATGGGCACAAGTTGATTCCCCATCGTATCTATTGTGAATAACACTACCATGAACATGGGAGCTCTGACCTACTGATTTCACTTCCTTTGGATAGACACTCAGTAGTGGGATTGCTGATGATATGATAGTTCTATTTTTAAATTTTTGGGGGAACTACACTGTTTTCCATAATGGCGGTACTACTTTACATTCTCACCAACAGTGTGCAAGGGTCCCCTTTTCTCCACACCCAACACTTATCTTTTTTTTTTTGAGCTGGAGTTTCACTCTGCCACCCAGACTGGAGTGCAGTGGCTGCCCCGGCCACCATAGCCTTGACCCGCTGGGCTCTAGCGAGGCTTCCGCCTCAGCCTTCCAAGTAGCCAGAATTACAGGCACACACTACCACGCCCGGCTAATTTTTTGATTTATTGTAGAGATGAGGTCTCTCCAAGTTGCCCAGGAGGGTCTCAAACCCACAGTCTCAGGCAATACACTCACCTCGGCCTCCCAAAGCGCTGGGATTACAGGCTGAGCCACCGAGCCCGATCTCTTTTTTTTCTTTTAAGTAGGAGTCTCACTCTGTCTCCCAGGCTGGAGTGCAGTAGCACGCTCATGGCCACGACAGCCTCGACCTGCTGGGTTCAGATGATCCTTCACGCCTCAGCCTTCCCAGTAGGTGCAACAGGTGCACGCCACCATGCCTGGCTAATTTTTTGATTTATTGTAGAGACCAGGTCTTGCTAGTTGCCCAGGCTGGTCTCGAACCCTTGGACTCAGACAATCCTCTCACCTCCACCTCCCAAAGTGCTGGAATTACAAGCGTGAGTCACTGCTCCTAGCTGATAACAGCCACTCTAGCAGGTGTAAGGTATTATTATCTCATTGTGGTTTTAGTTTGCATTTCCCTGATGATTAGTGATCCTGAAGATTTTTTCATATTCCTGTTGGTTATTTGTATGTCTCCTTTTGAGAAACATCCATTCAGGTTGTGTCCTTCTTTGACAGTAAAGCCAAATCCTATTAAGACAGCTCCCAATAACAATAAGCCAAGTCTTCAGCACTTGGAAAAATGTGTGTTTTCTGAGCCTATGTGCAGTACCACCCAAAAGAAAATTTCTCTTCACTGCTCTACCATAGTACCTAGAATAATGCCTGGCACATAGTAGGCACTCACAGCTGTTGAATAATAAGGCAAAAAAAATTTCTATCTTTATTATCTTAGTAAGTGGCGGTGGGGGGGGGATCTCCAACATACAGAGAACAAGAGGTCAGTTGTAAAATTTTTTTTATTGTATGAAAACAGAGTCAATAGAGGTTGACAATGTGAATGTTATCTCAGAACACTTCCCCTTGGTTTCTGAATTTGCTAGATTCCTATGTACCAGCAAGTCTCCATTAGTATGTCTCAAGTTTCATGATCCTTTTCAGATATGTTGGTTGATTATATGTATATATTGCTTAGAAACAAAAGTCCATCTGATATTAAAATAAGCCATGAAAGAAAAATCCTAGCTCTGTTGTGCTTTTCTTTCACATTTTCTACAGGGAGATCTGTGTATCTCTGATGCTTTCAATTTAACAGTAAAGTAAAATTAGTGCCTTAGCCAAACAGAAAGACACCAAAGAATCCTCCATCACAAGTTATTGAATCAAACCTCTCATGACATTTGCAGTACACACCCAGACTTAAAAATTTCAAACTTAAAACAAACTTTAGAATGCTGATTTTCCATATTTCAAAGACTGTAGTTACTTGCAGCATACAATGGAGAGAGTAGTGCAAAATGCATCAAGTTTTATATGATAAATATACTTTCAACCTAATGGCTGCCTCAAAAGCAAAGAGTGAAAACTGACCACTTCTCAAAAGAAATCTAGACCAATTCAAAGTTCACAATTTAGAAATACCAATTGCTACTCTATTTTCATAGGTTGCAAAATAATTTCAGAAACAGATTACACATACAGTTGCTTTACAAAAATAGAAATATTGTTTGGGAGTAAAAACTTTATAAAATATAACACTATATTTGTAAATTCAAGACAGTTTCACACTGAAATAGACAATACTTTCATAGAGATATAAAGTCTAGTCAAACTTAAAGTGGTCTGCCTTGACCATCCTTACACATAATTTCTTCCAAATCTTTCAATCTAAGTAAATCTGTGCTCTATCATGGAATTTTTTTAAAAGATTATTTTCAGGAGTTGTACAAGAAGATTTTCATTCTAGAATTAATGTCAAAGCAGATTAATTTATACCTAAAAATATGCCTTACTAAAAGCAGAAGCCAATGCAATATGACAATTCTATATTACTGGTAAATTTCAACAAAATTTCTAAGAATGACAACCTCTTATTAATTTAAAATATATATTTGACAATTATATATTTGACCTATAGAATGTAAAAATATCATCACAACTATTTTATGGAAAAATATTTATTCATATAGAATGAAAATGCCTCTAAATTTAGTTATTTGTAGCTGTCAGATGAGAAGTATTTCCTAATTACACCCATTCACAAACACTCATTTTATCACTTCAAAGAGCACCAGTGTATTTTTCAAACAAACCAAAAAGTGAGAAGGTAGGGGCTTATTTCCTGTAACAGTGCTATTTAAGGCACCACTAGGTATAAAAACAAGTCAAACAAAGTATTCCCAAATCATGTATTTTTGTTACTGCTGTCCTAACCATTAGATAGGGTGGTTAGAAAAAAGCTAATAACAGTATTAATGAACCACATAATGCTCCTTTTTTTCATCATTCTGTGCTTTTAGTTTTTCCATATAACAGAAACAAAATCAACAATGTAGTACATGATCTGTTAAATAAACATCTATTTCTCAACCTTCCAAAAAAATAAACTAGAAATAAACAAGAATAAGAAACAAAAACTTTCATCTGATATATTTGCAAAAGTCTATCCCTGTAGAAGAGCGCGGGGAGAGGGAGAAGGCAGGGGACCTACTTTCTATATAACATATTGAGGCACATAGGTTCCAAGTTTTTCAGGCAAATTCATGGCTTAGAGCAATACGGAGAGAGAGCTCAGAACTTTACACTTCCCTCAAAGCTGATTTCTCAGAAAGACGCACTGGATTAAATATTCCAAAATACGTCCTTAGTCACTGCTGTCATCATCATCATCATCATCAGACACATCATTTAAAGGAGACTTCAATGACTGGCTATAAGAGTCTGATCTAGTAGGCTGGCATGTGGCCATGTCCCCAGTAGAAAGCAGGTCATAGCAGAAGTCACAAATCCGCACAGGCTTAGAGGACTGGCTGGGAAGAAGAAACCTCTTTTCAGAGCAAGGCCCACAGACAACAAAACCACATTTGCGGCAATGGTGACGACGATTAACAGGTGTGAATTTTGCTTTCTGACAACGCATACATACAGTTGCCTCAGAGTCAGGAACCCAAACAGCAGCATGTTCATTACTGGGTGTCTTCCCACTTTTGGAGAGTAAATCAGTAACACATTTATTTATGTGATTCATCCATTCTGATTTCTCAGTAGCAGTGGCAGCATAAACTGCAAATGATTTAGTTGGTGTCTTGATAAGCCATCCATTCCTTAAGTCCCCTTCATCTTTGATGGAATCAATGGTGACATTTTCCAGGGGAATAATATGTTGTTTGTTATATTTTTTCTTCTGGATGACGATATTGCCATATACAAGAATATCATTAAATAAGAAAAACTGCCTTGCTTTGGGCTTTTTTCTGCACAACTTTGTCAATACTCCTTCTCCAATAAGAACTCGTCCAGGTATAGTTAAGGGTTGACCAGCTGCTCCAAAACAGTTTTCTACTATACTTATACGTCGAGTATTTGCTTCGCTGTTTGCCAAGCGATCTACCATCTTTTGCTAATAGCCTAAAAAAAGAAAAAGAAATTAGCACATACAAATTATAAATCCCTAGAAGTTATAAATTATGTAATCTAAATTTACCCTAACAAATCATTACTTTTACAAAAGGCAAAATGTTTCTACAAATAAAATTCTTTCCCTCTAAGATAATCACAGCAAAAGAGTAAAATCTCTCAATTTTTATAATCATCAAAAACACTTATTAACCATTTCCAAATAGCACAATACTAGTTAAGAAGATATTTGTAAAAGTATAAACTCCTTTCAGGCCTGGTGCAGTGGCCCATACTTGTAATCCCAGCACTTTGGAAGACTGAGGCAAAATAACTGCTTGAGCCTAGGAGCTTGAGACCTGCCTGGGCAACATAGTGAGACTTCATCTCTAAAAAAAATTTAAAAATTAAAAAACCATCCAGGCGTGGTGGCACACACTTGTAGTCCCAGCCACTCAGGAGGCTGAGGTGGGACGATCACCTGAGCCCAGGAGGTAGAGGCTCTGGTGAGCCATGATCATGCCACTGTACTGCAGCCTGGCGAGAGTGAGACCCCAACTCAAAAAAAAAAAAAAGAAAGAAAGGATTCGCCTTAGCCTATAAAATGCAAAGTCTTAGTACGGTGTTTGTTTAAGGCCCTTCATTACCTTGTTCTTGCTTATCTCCCCAGCATCCCAGCATCACCATCAGTCACTCTTCACTTCAAATACTATATTCTAAGAACACCCTACTATTACACATAGTCCATCTTGTTGTTTCCTTTACTATTTATTGCTTCAGTTTTTTACTTATCCTTTAAGACTCAGTGTCGTTTCTAAAAGAACTAGAAATTGACCTTCCATACAACCCAGCAATCCCCTACTGGGAATACACCCAGAGCTGCTCAAATCTTTCTAAAATAAGAATCTTTCTAAATAAAAATACCTGCACACACATGTTTATTGCAGCACTATTCACAACAGCAAAAACATGGAACCAACCATGCTGCCTGTCGAAACTGGACTGGATAAAACAAATGTGGTATATATATATGTGATGGAATATTATGCAGCCATAAAGAAGGACAAACTTAGGGACTTCACAGCAACTTTGATGGATTTAGAGTCTACCGTACTTAGTGATCTATCACAGAAACAAAGAACTGAGTACCGCATGTTCTCACTCATAAGCAGATCCTGAACATTTACCATAATACCCATAAGAAAGGGATTGGCAGTAGTTGGAAACTGCCAGTGGGGGTGGGGGTGGGTGAGGCGGAAGACAAATAACATCAATAAGGGTACCTGATCTCAAACCAGGTGAAGGGAGGACCAAAGGGAGGTCCAAACTTTACCTGTATGATAACCACTTGTATATCTAAACCTGAATTGTACCCTACATCTTTAAAATTAAAAAAATTTTTTAAAAAAGACTCAGTTTAGCTGGGCTCGGTGGCTCAGCCTGTGATCCCGCGCCTTTGGGAGGCTGAGGTGAGTGGATTGCCTGAGCTTGCGGTTCGAGACCCGCCTGGGCAGGCAAGATCTCATCTCTACAATAAATCAAAAAATCAACCAGGCGTGGGAGCGCATGCCTGTAATTCCGGCTACTTGGAAGGCTAAGGCGGAAGGATCACCGGAGCCCAGCAGGTTGAGGCTGTGGTGGCCGGGAGCGGCCACTGCCGGGAGCGGCCACTGCACTCCAGTCTGGGCGACAGAGTGAGACTCCAACTCAAAAAAAAAAGACTCAGTTTAGTTTAACATATCTCCTCCAAGAAGTCTTCCTTAAATTCCCATACTAGGCTCTGTGCTCTCCATATTGCAGGTGTATTCTAGCCTCACTTTTACTAACAGGCTGAAATCTGTCTTTTCTACAGACTGCTGTGGAACTTCAAAAGCAGAGATCATCTGATATCCATCTTTGAAACTGACACAGTGTCACAGAGCAAAGGTATTCAAAAAATGGTAACAAGAATATTTTAACAATGTGCAAAAAAAATCCCACATTAGTCTAAAAAAATCACAGATTTAATCTCTAGATCCAACATTGACTTTAAGTCTCAGAATTGCATCTTATTTCAAATCTACTAAACTAATACTACTACACTACAATCAAGTCATATTAAAGAAAACAAGGTTTGAGAAGAACATTTAAAGTTTAAAGATCAACAGCATAGTCTAAATTCCAGTATTGAGCACACAAACTGATATTATAACCTTCTCAGCCTCCATTATAAAGGACAATACAATTCTGACCCTTTCCCAATCTTGGGTTCTTATAAAGCCCTCTTGTCCTCCACACGGGTGGCCTCTGGCAGGCCTGAAATTAATACAGTAATGTACAGCTCCAAACTGTGAAGTTTTCCCTAATTAGGACTAATCTGCCAGTCAAGTACATAACAGAACAGGAAATAAAAACAGTTAATAAACATACAAAGAGGCTCAACAATTTCTTTCATAATTAAAGAAATGATATTAAAATAGGAGGATTTTTTTTTTTTACCTAGATTAACAAAAATTTTAAAATGTACTAAGAGGCTGGGTTTGGTGGCTTAGCCTGTAATCCCAGCACTTTGGGAGGTTGAAGCAAGTGGACTGCCTGAGCCTTCAGATTCGAGACCAGCCCGGGCAACTTGGCAAGACCTCGTCTCTACAATAAAATAAAAAATTAGCTGGGTGTGGTAGCTCATGCTAGTAGTTCCGGTTACTTGGAAGGCTGAGGTGGAAGGATAGCTGGAGCCCAGCAGGTTGACGCTGGGGTGGCTGTGAGCGTGCCACTGCACTCCAGCCTGGGCGACGGAGTGAGATTCCAACTAAAAAAAAAAACTTACTAAGGTGCAGTACTCACTATAGAAGATATGTGTATTCACCAATGTAGGTCTCTAATCAAAGAAATTTCATCCAACTTGCATAAAGGTATATACAAAAATAACCAACACAGCAGTTTATAACAGGAAAAAAAATTAGAAAAGTTCCAAATATCCATCAAGAGGAATTGGTTGAATGTGAACAAGTTATGGCACACCCTTAATCATATTACTTGAGAATAAGATGGATCTAAATAAAGAAATATGGGGAAATGTTCAAGATCTCGGGGCGGGGGGGGAGAAAGCTGAACATGTCACATTTCATCAAACCTGAGATGCTATAGATTTTAAGGCATCCTTATTTTATGTGCAATTCACAAAGAAAAAAATGCTGCCAATTAGACGGCATATCCTTGATAATAAGACATCCCAATTACAGAGATATAAAACATAGTAAAAAGAAATTACTGAACGCAGTGGCTTATACCTGTAATACCAGCACTTTGGAAAGTGAAGGCAGTAGAATCACTTGAGCCCAGGAGTTCAAGACTAGCATGGGCAAAATAGTTAAGACCTTATCTCTACAAAAAATCAAATTATCCCGGTATGGTGGCATGCACCTGTAGTCCCAGCTGACTAAGGAGGCTGAGATGAAAGAAGCTGAGGCTGCAATGAACCGTGATCATGCCACTGCACTCCAGACTGGGAAAGTGAGACCACAATATACATATATAAGGGGAGACCCCCAAAAATCAGTACTTATACAAAATTGTGTATTTATTCCTAAGTGTTTAAACTTCAGTCACCTTCAAAGTACTCTCCACTTGATGCAGTACATCTACTGAGATGCTTTTGCCACTGCTCAAAACAGTTTTTGAACTCAACAATTTTGATGCCTTTTAGTGCTTCTGCGGTTTTTGGTTTCACCTTTTTCCACAATGGCAAAATGTTTCCCTTTGAGGACTTTTTGCAACCAGGGAAACAAAAACAAAGTTGCTCAGTCAAGATTAGGTGAATAAAGGGCTCGGTGGCTCAGCCTCCCGCTGGGGTTGGGAGGTTGAGGTGAGTGGATTGCCTGAGCCTGCGGGTTCGAGACCCGCCTGGGCAACTTGGCAAGACCTCATCTCTACAATAAATCAAAAAAATCAGC